ACTGTGGCATATGGTACAAAGTCCGCTTTGAAAGTCCGGAGGAAAAATTTGCATTAATCGCTAATTCATTTGAAAGAGTAATGCAACCAGTCGATAAACAAATAGCTTCGTTAACATATGCTAACTTAAAAAGGGGTGGAAATTTCTAAATTATCATAATTTTGTAAAATTGGGATGCGAAGGATGATGAACGATTATTCGAGGATAAATCAGTTGCGTTGACAAGACAGTTTAATGCGCCAGTCTTGAATTGTTTTATGAAGAATTGTGGGTTACGCTACTGCACCTTCCGCACACCCATATACGCCTAAGAACCATCGAAAAAAATCATTGTTCCAAAGTTCTTTCGCACATGAAGTGCATGATGAGCCTCACATTATCTCATTACTCACAAGTATGCGGAAGGGAATTGTATAATATTACGAAACCGATACCTCATATTTTCGCAGTTATTTTAAAAATAAATCGAACAGTCTTAATATACTCATAAACCTAATTACGGATTACATTATGCTGTATATGCATCCTTACTCCAAGATGTTTAAAAGAAATTTTGCCCATTTCTGACTGATCTTCGTTGCAGGTACACTGTGAACAAGCTTCTCCGGTGTTCTCTATTCCAGGCGATCTGTCTCCACCGTTGGTCAAATAATATGAGGCTGGACTGCCCCACTGTTTTTGGACGTCTGAGAGGATCTATGTGGTCCATCGATACCTAGGGCCTGTCCATTTACTTAAGGCGTCTTTTGTGCAAGACAGAATTCACGTGTGTAAAGCCATTCCGTCATAATTTTTTCGCACGGAATGTAATTCTTAAGGAGTTGTAGTATCCTCCCCGGATTTAATTGTCATACTACCGTATGACCGCCGTATGACTACCGTACGTTCTACGGGAATTTAATAGCTGACTGATATTCAGTGCGTAGGTCATGGCGGGTAACAGGGTTCATTCGTACAGTTCTTTCGTCGTCCGTGGAGAAGCGGTTTTAATGTGCTTAAAGCAGGCTTATGCAACCTTCCTTCTAACGAGTTACCTGACGACCGATGTAAACATTTTAAACGCTTCTTCGAATTCTTCACATTTGCCCAGGCATATCCGTTGCCTATTTTGTGCTAATAAAATGACAATCCAAAATGATCATATTATTGACCGTAATAACCTTAAAATTTAAAACAGTACTCTGTGACTTGTTCGCATTCTACCAGCACTTGCTCTGTGTACTTTTTCCTGGTACAATAATAATTTTTATTTCATTGATCGTTTGATTTTTACTTGCTTTCTTTTCCGTTTATTTTTGTCCACCCATTTATTCACGTCTTATCTGCCTATTTTCACTCTCCCTTCCCACCCTTAGCTTTCTTGTTGGCTTTCCTATTGGTCACATACTTGCATATATTTTACATATTTGCTTCTACTCACTTACCATTTACTCGCTTAAAAGAATCGATTGTTTTTAATGTAGATTGAGACAGTACAAATGTTAAATTGGTTTGTGCATTACGTGTTCTACAATATTATACAGGCTTTATATGCTTCAATTATTCTTGTTATTCTGCTTATCGAGGAGGAAGAAACTGTATTTCCTGACATAGTAAAACTCAATTTGCATATTCATTTGCAGAATTCGGTATGAATAAGAAGTACGAAAACGTATTATCTGATTTGGTGATTTAAATAATAAAAATTAATGAGTGTTCATTATTTACAGTAAAATGTCTTTTGTACGGAAGATCTATGATGCAGTGGTTAAAGATGCAGTACAGATTTACTTGCCTTATTATTGTACTTTTTTCCACTGTATTAGACAGTCTTTTAATATTTCTGAATTTCAGAAGATACCTATTCTTATCCTTTTTAGTTTTTTTTGATACCTATTGTTACACTTCAAACTTTTTCAGCAATGCCAAGTGGAGGCCACAACGGACGATGGAAAACCGATGCGGCGACGAAGTGCCCAGTTGGCTGTATCCCCATCGAATTCGAAGGACGTTTACAACTTAACGACCGTCATCCGCATTATACCACAGGAAATAGAAACCGTTATGCCATCTGCAGTGCGAAACTCAAAATCGGGTACCGGTTTTTGTGAAATGGTTATGTTGTGGCACAGTGAACTCGAACTTCTGAGGTACGGAGTTTGATTCCCACGGCGGGCAAGGAGGGCAATCTTCGTCTTTACTATGAATTGGGCAAGGAATTCACAGTGTGCTGATTCACACGGGGCTTACTTGGCCGAGAGAATGTTGGACTAGGAACGGACAGGTCCTGGGTTCGAGCCCTAGTCCAGGCGGGGCCATTTGCCTTTATTCCTTCTGTGGTTGAGTACCAACCTGGTGACGAGTGCGAAGGAAACAATTGTGTCACTTCAGCCTTTAAAATATAGCACTCCTGGCTGACGACAAGGAAACAGAAATCAGCCCCTCCCCACCGTTAGCTTTATGAAATCAATGGTCTTGACCTTACATTCGAATGTTTACAAACTTATTCAAATATGTGATGTTATACTATCAGTGAATGAAGGGTAATCGTTTTATTGAACCGTAACGGTCAACTGTAATTATTTTATTAGCGAAAACTTCTGTGACTTGAGAAATATTCATATTAACGTGCGTTCTCTACGAGGGATCAATGTCAGTTGTGGTATTTATCACTATGTTGCTTCCTTTGTAT